ATGTAACTAACGCAAGACTGCTCCGAATTAATTAACTGCTACAGAAACTAGCCCTCCGAATTTCCCCGGAAATCAACCCCTGAGGTCCCACCCTCTGCGGAATGGAGTTTGCAGGTCTTGGTCCGCGCGGCGATTTTAGGGAATTAGGTAATCGAATGATATCAGCTGATCGGCTGATCAGCCGTCCACGCTGATACAATTATTATTTGAAACTAAAATTGGAATTTTATCAGCGGTGCATTTTTTTTTATTTTTTATTTTTTCCCATAGAGAGGAATCACAAACGTCGTTAAAGGGTTAAATGGCAGTTCCGTCGCCTAGGCGGGGTGCATTAATTCCGGCATAATTACGGGTCGGGTTTGCGCTTTCCAAGGCCTCTGGGGGAACAAAGGTGCAATATCAGAGGTTGGACTCTTTAAACAGAATTCATCGTACCGCCGGGCGCTTCTTTTCTCTCACCGCCCGGCCGGTTTCTCGCCCAGGGCGGTCTTTTCCGCCCTGCGCGGCTTAATTCGCGGTAATACCGCACAGAGACTTACCATGGGGTGTATTGACTCTACAGGCAGGTTTGCCTTCCGCGAAAGGCAAGCCAAACAGAAATCTCGAATTACGAGTCCACGGCGTCCGGGCTTCCTCCAAAATGCATTTAATCGAGGGTCCCACCAGTCCCTTCATCCCCGGAACGGCTTTCAAGGAGTCATAGCGATTTTTCTCTCAATTTTCAACCCCCCATTTTCCGCCCCCTCTATCCCAGCGTTACGTCGGTTTCTTACTACTCGTTTAATTGGAGGGAAATTCGCGGCCGTAAAGCAGACCAGGTCGACGTTTCCCTTTACAGCTCGTCAGGGGAATTCTATTATCCGTAAAAATGGCGGTGTGTTGGCCGTTCCGTTCTTTTTTTTCCCCGCCCGCCCCCGCCTTCCTCAGGAGCAGAGTTAACTTCCGCACTTTCGCCGGGGAGAATTTTTGCAAGTTTGAGTAATGAGGTGGATGCGAGTTGTTACGTAATTGCGTTACTACCCGGGTAATTAACTCAAGGGAGAGCCCCCAGGAGGGGGCCGCCAAGGGATGCATTAAATTTCAAGCTTTTCAAGGAGACCGCACTTCTTTCCTCTTATCGCCTCCTTTTTCCGTACCATTTACTCGGAATGTCTCGATAATTTGCTCGCGACTACCCTCCCCCAAGTAATAATGAAATTGCGATCAGACTTTACCACCCTCTGACGGTCGGAAACGGCCGATTCTAAATTCGGGGAGAAATCTCGATTTGGATATCGATTGTCTGTAAAATTTCCATCGACTTGTGCCGGCGGTGATAAAAAGTGTTGTATCGATATTATCATCGTCGTACGGTTTTCCTCCCTCTTCCATATTTGGCCTTCAGTTTTAACCCCTTTACCTGCGCGTTTTTTACCCCCTGCAATATCATCTCACGGGCCGAAACTCGATCTTCCCGGCGCAATGGAACGACCCCTCTCGGATTCCTTGGGGTTCTTTTCTTCTCTGAATTCGTGGAGAACCTTTCAGGATTATTGAGTTCCGCCTCGTTCGCGCAATTCCCGGGAAGAGAGCCCCAGAAGAACGAGCCGTCCCCGGACTGCAGCGCGGTGCATCATGGTGCAGCACGGTGCGTTATGGTTGCAGCGCAGTGCATCATGGTGCAGCGCAATACATTATGTTGCAGCGAAGTGCATTGCGGTCCAGCACAACGCAATGCAACATAATGCAGCACAGAGCAGCGCTTATCACGGACAATAGCGGCTAACGAGCGGATGCACTTCTGCCCGTCTTTGACTTATGCGAGTCGGGACAGTTATATGAAATTTCTCAGAGACAAGTCCATGGTCGTTCCTGGAAAGGGGGAGAGCCTCCGTTCCCTCGGGAAGACGAGTTATCGGGAGTTCCCGATAACCGGCGAATTTCCCGATAACTGGGGGAGGGCTGGAAATTTCGGCATTCCGGGGGAATTCTTCGGGCAAAAAGCCAGGACGCAAAGGTATGCGCCCTCGGATCGAGATCGCGAGTGCAGGGGTGCAAGTGCATCCGAGGGAGGGGCTCGTGTCACCAGGGTGCACGGACTATCCGAACAATTCGGTCGGTCGACTGAGAACTCCGGAACTCGTTCGAGCCGTCGACTGTCCCTCCTCGGCGGGCCACCCCCGTGAAATTAAATTCTTGCGAGCGTATACAGGGCACATGACTTTATGTACTCCCCGTATGTACGCGGGGAGAGGGGAAAAAGAAACGGGAAAGAGAGGATCGACGTGGGAATGCCATTAAGAAAGCCCCGTCCAGGAAGAAGCCCACCCTTTCCTTTTGAGGGGGAGTACCGAATTTACCGGGGGGTGAGAATTGCAGAGAATCTCCATTACTACCCCCGTAAAAAAATACCGATAATGAAAATAACTCCGAAACGAGTAATTCTCTCTATCCCTTCAGCCCCTTCACTCCACACCGCTTGATTTTTCCGTGTAACGTTTCCGATACTAAATACCGAATCAATAAATTAAATAACATAATTAATTAAGGGCGGGTTCATTGGTTCCTCTCCACTCGTATTATTTTCCCTGTAACATCTTTAATCTTCATGGAATTTTAACGTCTCCCCCAGGGATGAATTCATTTAATTAATTCCTCTCGTTGAGTCGTCCGATGAAATGGACTCCTACCGGAAGGGGGAGTGCATCTAGGGGTTGAAAAACGAACGGGAGCAAGGATTAGAGGTTTCCACGTCCCTTCGTTTCCCACCTTCTTTGGGAAATCCGGTTAACTCCTCCACTCTGGGGTGGCGCTCTTCAGGGTGCACCTGGGGTGCAACTAACGAGTGCACTCGAGTCGGTCACGTAGGGTCGAGGGGTGCATCGCGAATGCCAAGGTGCAATGAAAACGGTGGTTAGCGCGGGGTTTACTTTGATTCCTGGGAACGGCAATCGGCGGCGGCCTCGCCTGCTGCAAGTGTAGCTGCAGCGCCCACTGCAGTTGCACCCCTCTGCGGCGGGTCCTTCCGGTCTCCCTCGCCACGTATTTCCCATTCGCTCTTTCAGGTCGTGTCGAGGTCGGCGGGTTTATTAAAAATTAAAAGGTGAGATGGAGGAAAAAGGAAACAAGATGGCGGCAAGTTGCCGCGCCAAGGAGACGCGAGGGCATTAAGCGGCGGATTCCGTCGCTTCCGGTCGCCGTTCGCTTTTCCCGGGGTGCATACCGCGAGGGTGCATTGTGCCCCACCTCGCGTGTGCACCGACGTTCCCCGTAATTGAACCGCCCGCCTCGTAAAGGTATAAAAGTAATGGCGGTTTCGGAATCCTCCGGGGTCGGGACCTCTGAAAGTCTCCCCCTGGGTGTCCGGGCCCGTTTAACGAGCCACTCAAGACGCGGAGGTCCCGTCGTTACGCCCGCCGCGGGATTCCGGGAACGAGGCTTTAAGCGACGTGTCCATCGGGAAAAGCTTCCGGGACATTTGCGCGATCCAAGCCGGAGGCCATCCTGGCGGCCCCACCCTGGAGCACTCCTCTTTAACGGTCGAGCTTTATTTTTTGAAACCCCCTTTCGACTCCATTCGACCCCCGCCGAGAAGTCGCGGTGGACTGGAGAGGAGCTTTCTTCAGTTTCTTCGGTTTCCTTTTATTTCTTCTTCAGGAACGAACGGAATACAAAGGATCTATCCGAAACATCCTTTCGACACTTTCGATTTCGGCATTCCTTTTCCTCCTGCGATCCCGAAGAAGGACCTTCGTCCCGGGGACGCGAGTTACGAGGACCCGGAAGTGTCGCGGCATTCCCGGACGACCGATAAACACGGCAACAAGTGCTTTTAAGGACCTCGCGCGCGTCTCCCTTCTCGTCCTTACTTTTAAGGATTTCTCAGGACCCCCCGCAGCCCCGGGACCCTGCACCTGCACCGGCTAACGGCACTCCGGCGATTCGGATGAATTTTTAACGGGCGCTAATGCGCCCGATATGCACCTCCGTATTTCTTTCCTCGGCCTGTAAATCTTCAGGAAAAAGGTGAGAGCTGCATCGAGCGGATGCACCAGGGGATGCCCTGCTTCCTGGCCGGGGCATCTCGATGGTGCACCTTGATGGTACCCCTCGAGGACGCGTTTCCATATCGCATCCTATGATGCACCCCAAGATGCACTGGATGCATTTCCTCTCTGGATAAAAATCGATCTTCAATTTCTCCGTCCTTTCTTCCCTGTCCCAGGGATCCGTAATAAACGAGGCTACCATCGTTAATTCCCGTAATCGCGAATTACCCCATTTCTCCTTCTCTCTCTCCGTTCTCCAGGACTTCCATCGGGAGCTTTCATAATCCAACTCGCTTAAGTCCAAGCGGTCTGTCGCGCGATCAGGTCGCAAAGCACAAGGACCGCGGATTACCGTTCTAATCCTCCCCGAAGCTTGCAAGGACGTTCCCCGTTCCGCAAGCTCGACTTGGCCGGCGGCCATCTTGGGAGCCCGGGAATCGGCCGAGGAGGCTCCTCCGGAAACCAAAGCTCTTGCTAACGGAGCCCTCCCCCCACCTGTCGAGCTTTTCTCACTTCCGGCCCCCCCGCTAAGATGGCTCCCGCGAAAAAGCTCAGGAGGGGGAGGAAGACAGAAAGAGAGAGAGAGACCTGTCCGACCCAGAAAGCTGCGGCCGTAGGCGCTACTTGATTTACGCCTCGATCTCGCCACCGAGCCTCCTCCTCTCTTCCTCTTTGCCCCTCCGTTTCTTTCCAACTTTCTTCATTCTGCGCTTCTTCTTTCGCCCTTCTTCTCCCACGCCTTCTGTAAATCTCGACCGAGAGCCGCGCTGTATCGTTTCGCCTCTCCAGGGTCGGCGCTTTTTCTTTAGGCTCTCAGTTTGGTCTCTTATACATATTCACCTTTTATTGTTCATTATCAGTTTTCGATTTTTCCTCAATAGTATAATTGGCGATTTCCCGAATTTTTTTTCAAACTCTTGTATCTTGTCAGACTATATTAACGAGCAAATCTTCGTGTTTTTCCCGTTTCAGCGTGAAGACCGACATGGGTGCCGAAGGTGCGGTCTCGAAGCTCTACATCGCCAACGCCAACACGAAGGACAGCGGGAATTATAGCTGCGCCTTGGCCGACGTCGCTGCTACCACGGTTTCCGTCCACGTGTTGAATGGTACGTAAAACACGATGACAGTTCTTATCACCGCCTGTCGACCCTTTCTTTACCAAACAGCTGATTTCCCGATAACGACCGTAGAGGCGCGACAGGTGCCCCGGAAAAATCCCTCGCCAAAGTATTATTTCATGAATTTCTGGATTTCCGCGGTTCGAAAAATTGTCTAAAATTCGTTGCCAATTTCCCACGTATTCGCGACGCTCTTCAGGACTTCCCTAGGGACCCAGAAGAGACGGGATAATTGCGGAGAACCTTTTTACCAGGATAATTAGGACCCCTGTTGATCTCGTTACCTTCCATTTGGGGTGTGGGAAGAAAGTCGCGGTTCGTTTGAGGAACTAAACGAGGTCGAAAAAATTAGCCGGGCTAACTTTTCGACGGGGTCGAAAGGGAAGTCCTAGTGAAAATTCGGGGAGCCTGGGAAAATCGGAAATTAGGACTGTAGAGGGGCCGAAACGAGCAGGGGTTGTTTCGTTGGAGGAACGTTGCCGGGCGTTTCTCGTTGTTTGCGGAGGGCAGGGGTGGGGAATTAGGGGATGGTCCTGTAAAAAAGCTCTAGACGAGGGGGCTGGAAAAAGCACCTCTTCAGGGTTCTCTTCAAGGGCTGGTTCCACCCTTCTGGTCCCTGGGACCTGCTCGGCCTCGAGGCCATTGTCGGTCGCGGAATAAAATCTCCCGGAACAACTGACGGATGGCCTTAAAGAAAAAAGAGGAAATGGGGAAAGGGGAGGTGGAGGGGGATGTACTAAAAGCACCAGCCACTGTCGTCCGCAGATAAAAGCGTTCCCGGGTCGAAAGGTCGAGGAAAGCTCCGAACCTTGCCTCGATACTACCCTCGTTCACCCCCTGGCCCCTGTCCGCACTTTTCCGACCCCTTTCCGGACCCGATATAATTTTCCAGACTCTCTGGTAATTAATTTTCCCGACCTATCCACCCTTTCCCGAAAGACTTTTCCGCGCAAGCGGATCATTTTCTTCGCCTTTGCTTACTTACGAAAAGAGCTTAACGTTCCGAACGGTCCATCGCGAAAATTCCCTCGAAATTCCTTCCGACAAATTTTCCGAATTTTCCTGATACCGGAAAATCTCCCAAAAATGGGGAATCATGCAGTATAATTAAGAAAACGACCCGTCATCTCGTGTATCATAAGATTCCTTATCCCTATCGCTTTAAGGACTCGTCGATATTTTTATCCCTTAAATTCATAATTTTTTGAATATTAAAAAATTCGACATTTCTGTTAATTCAATTCCTTGATTTTTCGTGGAGCCATGAAAAGGGTATTTCTTTGATTTGTCCTGAGGTTTCTGATACCAAAGGTGCCTCTTATCAACGGGTAGACGGGAATGGTCACCATTTCGCGATTTTTCCTTCCTTTGGAGAAGCTTCGGGGTGGAATTACTCGCTGGTGCGCGTAATTAGGATTAATTTCGATCCTGGGCGAATTACACGCGGCTTTGGCCTGGAGCAGGCGGCAGGAGCAGCTTTCCTTTCGCGATTCCGATCGCGTTAATTGCCGGTTAATTTGGCTAATTCGGATAATTCTGCGTCCCCTTGTCATAGAAGGCCTATCGGAGTGGATGATTTTTCGCTCCTTCCCGGATCTTTTGCTCTATTCTCGCGTATGTCGGTTTCTATCCTACAATAAAAAATGGTACATTTTTGTAGAAGCCGTTTTTCCTTTTAGTTTTTAGTTTCCCCCAGTTCGCACCGACGGCGTGTCCGCGGGGCGCGTTATTCACGGGAAAGTTTCCTCGGGAAACATTCGCCGAGGCGGTAAGTCGGCGGAAAGTTCCCAGCATCCGCGAAATCGCGGTCTCGCCTCTGGACCGCTTTATGGAATGTCGCTAAATGTAGGCTTTGCGAGCTTGCGCCGAGCTGGCGAACTTTTAGCGAGACGCTCAACTAGTTTCCAGGGATCGCCTCCTGGAAGAGCATCCTGAAGATCGGATCCGCCTCCATGAAGAGGCATCGAGGAGGGCATGCATTATTTATACCGGATTACCGGACGTTCCGCTAGTAAATCTCACTTCGGGAGCTTTTCGGGGGGGGATGCAAAATTGAAGCCGGCGAAAGTCTTCGATTCGCCCCGAAACGACTCCTCCAGAAAATCGATCTTAACTGGGAACTCGGAGGGGAGAATTCTTGTTAAACAACTTCCCGCGATTTTTCTGACATTTGCCTAGGAAGTTGGGAAAGCTCGGCAAGGCGGCACTCGGGAAATATTTTCGAGATATTCTCTTTGGGAATGCGAGCTTCCTCGGTTACTCCTCGCCGGACTTCATTCCCGGTTTCCGGCGTCCCTCGAACGTCCCGCGGGAACTCGGGAAGGAATCCGAGAAACCGCGGTACTTCCGCCACCCCCTCCCAACCCCCTCCAGAAGAAGTTCGCGAAAGAAGTTCCTCAGTTTTGAGGAACGAGGAAACCGGAGTTTAATTTCGAACAGGAAACGTCGGAGTCGTCGCATGCCTTTCCGAGGGTTTCCCTTCTTTTCCCGGGTTTTCCGCGCAATTAGGGTAGGAAAATTTCTCTTCGAGGTGCTCTTCCGGGACGTCTTCGGCTCTCCTCCCAGGGTTATCCGCGAATACTTGTTGCCCTTCGCAGTGATAATTAAATATCTCCCCATTATCTCTCCTCTTCACTTCACATATCATTTTTTTACTGCAATAATTATTGTATTTATTACCGATCGGTCGGCGTGGGAAAAAAAATTTCCACGTGAATTCGTCACAAGCTTCTCGTCGAGTTCGGGGAATAAGTCGGCGTAGAAGTGCATATTTCGCGTATTTGTTTACTCGGGTGCATATAAATCCGCGAAACCGAGGTGCATCCGCCATTTCTCGTCGCGTAAGTTGGGCGGAAAGGCGGCGGAAAGTTTCCTCGTATCTTTTCGGTATCGGGGCCGCAAGGAAGATGGCAGTTTAATTTCACCTGGGAAAGTCTCACGTGAGGCATTTTGTTACCGCTCTTTTTTACTCTTCTGGTTTCATTCCCGAGAGCGTATATATATTTTTGTTCACGTACTTGTCAGGGACAGGGGTAATTATTAATTAAATGCAGGACATTCCGCGCGTTCGGAGACCCTCTCGGGCACATGCTCGGCTTTTCTTCGAGCTTTTCTCTCGAGCTTTTATCCCTCTCAGGGGTTCGCAAAACCTCGTGAAAAATTGTCGCCGTCTCGTCAGCTCTTAACGAGATACACCGACTAATGGCGATACGTCCGGTCCACCGGGTTGGTGCTTAATGCATTCCTGAAGACTTCTGCCAGGAAGCGAACGTCATTGTTAAAGAGCTCCCCCTTTTTCTCCTTCCGGGGAAATATCACGAAAATCCAGCACGCGAGAAAAATCCTCCTGTAAAGTCCAGATAAATCCTGTGAAATTCCCTAAAACTCCGAAAATCACTCCCTCCCCATTTCGCAAAAACAGAGAATAAATCGTGAGAATAAATCCGGGGAAATCGTTTATCTCGATTTCGGTCACTCTCCGGATTCCCGAAGAGTGAGCGAATTTTATTCCGAAATCCTGGTCATAGGAAATACTCTACTCTAAAATCCTAAAAATTAAATGAAAATTCCAAAAAATCACCGCGCATCCGTTTTTTTTACATCTTCGTCTCCTCTCATAAAACACAAACGAGAGAATGAATTCAGGAAAATCGTTTATCTCGATTTCGTCGACTCTCCCCGATTCCGGAGGAGGCAGGGAAATTTATTCAGGCCAAAGAGGGTCCCTTCATCAGGGGATTGATTTATCTCCCCGAAGAGGTCTCCACCCTGAGCAGCGGCCGCAAGTCACCGCGCTTAAATCGAGCCCCTGATAGCCGAGGACGTTATCAGCTATCAGGACGTACCCGGAAAGAACATTACCCCTGGCCGAAGTCCTGGGGGATGGGGGGGGAGGATCCCCGTCCTCGAAAATGAGCAGTTCTTGGCCCAGTTAGCGCCTACCCCGGACAAGGGGTGAGTATGGAGTTGCAAGGGTGGAGGGCTACCCCATGGGGGGATGGGGGAGGTTATTTCGCGGGGTGTCACGCCCGGCCCATTAATAACCCTGGCCGCAAGCTCCTCCTGCCCACCACCCCCTTCAACCACCCAACCTCCACCCCCTTCGACCACCCCCGCGCTACCGAGCGCGTGAGGAGTTTGCAAAGCTCTCCTCGGGAGACGTAGTTAACAGGACTCTATGCAGTCATGTATAATACACAGAAGGAATCTCCCAAGGGTGCTTGACAGCTCATTTTGCATATGCCCCCCTTCGCCCCTTTTTTCCCCTTATTTCCTTTTTCCTACACCTAACCACCAACCCAGCGCGACCACCAACGAATTTCCCCACATTCGCTGTGACGAATTTGCGGTTTCATTTTTTTCCAACTCTTTTTAAAAAATATCTCTGGAGCTTTTCTACTCGAATTTGCAGTTTCTATTCCGAAGATCATTTTAGAGAGGTTTAAGGAATCTCGGGATCTGGGGTTGAAGTAAGTCCGGGTAAAATCGGGGGTTGTTTAAGGTGCACTTCCATGCTCGAGGGGAAGGGTTAAGTTACGCGAAATTCCGCATCGCTCGCGATTCGCTCAATGTCGCGGAAAGATCGGCATCGCTCGTTGACCCGGCCCCAATCGGCATTCACCCCCCGACCCACCCCTTAGAATGGGGTGGATTTACCGCCGTTAGGTAGAAAGTTGACCGGTATCGCGGCCGGCAATAAACAATCGTAATCGCGGCCAGCTCATTGGCCCAGAGCCAGCCTCATCTTACGGTCCTGGGGTAGATGCACCCCCGACCCCTGGAATAACAAGGAGCCGCTTAGACGCGATCCAAATCTGACTCCCGAAGGAGCAGCATCCTCGAGGTCCTTATCCGGCATGCAAACCGGGATTAAGCACGCCCACGGCGTAACAACCCCCTGGAAAAAGCCACCTCTCTACAAAAATGGAACTCTAACGAGTCCGCGCGGTATTGTCGCCCTGGGATAAAGGAATAAATAGGAACGCGGAAGGGGTAAATCTAGAACGGCGAAATACGGGGCGAGGGTCCACTCTTCGCGGTATTAAGTCCAACTTTTAACGATGCAACGTCCACTTCGACGCGTGAAAAGAGCAACTTTTCTGCTACGAATGAAGGGGTCAAAATGATCCTGCTGATGGCACGCTTTGAGCGCTAATGACTCCCTGGGGCCTCGGGGGTGCTCCTTTCTGGATTATGGAGAGAAAAATCTACCCTAGGAAATAGTCGTCCCGTTTTGGTTCTCATTCTTCGGGGTATAAAGAAAATCCGCAGTCCATAAAAAATGGCCCACATCGATGAATAAGAAATCCTCACCGACGATATTCAGGAAACTTCAACGAGCCAATAATTCGGGGATTTGTAGAGCTGCCCTAAAAAGAAGAAAAATATTTTCTTTTCTCCCGAGTTTACAGGACATTTCCAAGCTTCCGAGGATAAGGAGAGAGGGAAAGGGAGTATCCTGATTTTCTGCCGTTCCTTTTTCCTCCCCAGGTCCTTAGATCCCCGTCGGAGTGCATCGCGGGCTTGTAAAAACACTGCACTTATCCCACAGTGGCGGACCTCCGATTAACCGGGGGAATTTTTCCGGCGGAAACTTCCCGGCCGAATTTTCACACCGTGGAAAACCGAAATATCGGCCTGGAAAAGGGACACGCGAATGTTTTGGCGAGCCGCCCAGCGATAACGGCTGGGAACTGAAAAATCAACTTTACACCTAAATTTCACCGGTCGAATTTTTGCATCCCTGGGAATTTCCCGGCCCTTTGTTCCGCCCTGGAAATAAAAGAAGGAAAAGCGGCTTATTTCGCAGCGACTTCCGCGTCCGTATTTTTCTTTCGCAGCGGAGAGTGCTCCAGGGTGGCTAATTAACGAGGGGCCTCCAGGGCCCCGAATAGTGGATGTAATCAGTAAAACTGAAGCCATGCTAGCGTAAACAAAGTTGTAAATTTTTCCGACTCTTAATTGAATCCTGGGGGGAGAAGACAATTCGCGCCTTCCAGGAGCTCGTAAGGAACCTCCGACTCTGGAGGCTTTAATGGCGGATTCGCTCGAGAGCTTTATGGTCGGTTTGATTCGCCCAGAAAATCGCTGCCCAATTAAATCCCTGGCATTTGTAACGAAACTCTAGGGGTATTAAAAAAAATTCCCGGAGTCAATTAATTAATTCCCCGTCGAGTCCAAATGCCCGAAGCGACAGGAAAATTGTCCAAATTAAATAAATTGGGGGTAGATCTGGGAATTAATTCAGGAGGGATACAAGAAATGAAACTGCGGGTTTTCGAAAATGTCCTAAAAAAATCCCAGGTTCGAATGATTAATTTCCAGCCACGGTCGTCATGTGATATCGAAGCCTGGAGCATGAGGAAAATCGTCGAATGGGCATTAACAGATCGTGGGATTTTGAAAATTAATTTAGCCGCGATACAAAGGGGTGAATTAAACGATTCGGAGTTAAAGTCTGGGGAAAAGTCGGGAACGAGCTGCTCTTAGGGGAAGCCACTTGGGAGAAGAGCCTGTCTGCAGTATCAATCGGGTTCGGGTAATCAGACGTCGGAATCAAATTAAAAGCTCTTCGGCTCGGAGGTCTGATTGAGGATTAGAGGGGAATGTCGGAGGCTGGACATTAATCTCGCCGAGGAGCACCTGCTCGTCTTTCCTGACCTCCCTGCCGAAACCTGAAAATCATTCGATCACAAAATAATTCCCTTCAGGGCACGCCTTCCCTTTTTCGCGACAAACTTTCATGTCACCTTAAACCGCTGAATTTCGATAAATCATCCTCATTACCGAATTCTCACCTGGACGCGGAATTTAGGGGTGGATCCCGACGATAAACCCAGAGGTGTGTCGCCTTGCAGCTGCAGAAACAATGGCTGGGACACATGCACAAGAAAACTTGGCCAACTGCAAACAAGGCTCCCCGAGGAAGTTTGTTCGGACTTAGCGGCGTAAACGGATTACAGCGGGATTAAGCTCGAAATGTGCGATGATTATGTTCGAGTTCTCACCCCTTTCGCGTTTTTCAGCCCGAAGTGCACATGCAAACGCGGATCGCCCGCTGGGAGACAATAATTGGGTCCAGCAGCTCTCCGATAACTGCAATAACCATTATGCTACATGTCCCGGATGAATTCCTCTCGGAGCATTGACATGCCGGCTGTTATTGAACACTCTTTCACCCCGAACATACTTTTTCCCCCCCAATTTTTTTTTCCCCGCCAAATGTGTCGCGATTTCGCTGGTCGCGTTAATATTGTTAACATCCACTCCACCCCCGTTTGTGCTTAAAAGTAAAAGTGTCAAATTGAAAGATGGATTTTGGGGATGCAGTCTAATTTTAATTTTAATTTTCTGATTCCAGGGGAAAATCCGGCGGCCATGCAGCACGGGGGCGGCGAGGTCTGCAAATCGGCCGCCATCTTGATCGCGTCTCTGACCCTGATGTCTCTTTTGAGGTGACCATGAGGCGACTTCCGGTGCGCGAATTCCCGACAAGATTGGTGCTAAAATCTCGGAGGATCACGCCGAGAGCGTCGGAGAGAGGAGACTGTTCCGGGACACTCTCCGGTTCTCCAGTTCTATTTCCTAAGAGAATAATAAAATAAACACGCCGGACTCGTCGCCATCATTCGGCGAGCAGTGATTTTCTATTCCAGTGAGATGAGGATGAGTCGAGGCTACGAGTTCCCCTGGCCGGACATATCCGCGGATGATAATCGGATGGGGCTCTTCAAGGTTCACCCGAAACTCTGCAAGAAGTCTTCGAGAAAGAGGAGGCGCCAAAACTTGAGGAACTGTAAAGAACGGGCAAGCAAGAAATAAAAGAAAAAACAAGAAAAATTGAGGAATCTCCGTGTAATCCCTTTTACAAGAAAATGGGAGGAGATTCCAAAATTGAAGATATTGCAATTTCCTCGGGAGGGAAAATTCGAATGGGGATGAAAAGGCCCTAAAATCGGAGCCGCTGCAAAATCTTGTGGAGGGACGTTTCTTTTCAAGATGGCCGCCCTGCAAGAAGATGGACTCCGTGTTCGGCGCAGCGGAGATTCGAAAGTGACTTTATAGGGAGACTTTTATCACTCGGGGGTGTAAATCCCGGTTTTATGCAGCTCCTATCATCGCGGGTCCGCGGCGGGGATGGTAATTATTTCCACCCCTTTCGCTCCACCCTTATGGCCGTTATATATCTGCCGCGCGGAGACCAGGGGTGCTTTCATAAATCCTGAAAATGGAAACGTCGCGGCGGGATGTATTATTTATGACGAGTCTCGTCGAGCCAATAAACGCCGAACGTACCGGGAATGTTTCACGGGGACTTGTTGATGTCGATGGACGCTCTTCAAGGTGGACGCGTCGCTTCGGGTGCTCGAAATGCCGCAATTTCTATTTCCACCCGAAGGTCTCCCTCCCCTGAATGCAACAGATTATCGCCGGTTTCTCGAGCTTTAACTCTTAACTCCTGACGATCGGTCGGGATTATTTCCTAAACGGTCGTTAAAAGTTCCCGATGGAATTGCGCGAGGTGAGACCGAGGTCGGGCATTGCCGAAGTTGGGATGAAGAAGTAGAGTAAATCCCTGTTATTAGAGCTCCGACGACTCGAATGAACTTACGTGGGGCTTAGATCCTGCCAAAAGACTCAATTGCAGGTTACGATTCCGCTATCATTTCTTGCAATACCCGAGGACCGTTTATACAAATTATTGGCAGCCCAGTTTTCACATTTTCTTCCACTCTGTAAAATTTTCTCGGGGATGATTAATTTTTTAGATTTTCTTTTCAGTCTTTCCGCTCCTTTCCTAATATTTGATTCTTGACGAACATATCAGAATTCAGATCGTGGGACATTTCCGGTACCCCTCGATGGCCTCGCGGTTTGGCGATCGATGATCATCGGCTATTATCGGCGATCGCGTAATCGCTAAGCGAGCGCAATGATGCGCGGTCGAGCCCCCGTAAATCATCGTAATATGATAAATTAACAAATGCGTTATTGGGCGCAGGTGCAAAATATTTCACGGGTCGCGGGGCTGGCGACGTTCCCGTAACCTATGCCCCCGATAAATTTAATTACCATTTTACGAGGGTGACAGAACACGGAAGGGTGAATCGGCACCCCTCGATTGTTCGGCCCCAAATCACCGGGAAACAATTGTTAATACACGGTTAGGATCGCTAATAGAAGCTTGAACACCTGAAACAGGTGATTACATCCAAGCAAAGAGTCAGAACTCTCTAACTACCGAAATCCAGGATTTTCCCCCGCTTATAATTTTCGCAATTTTCACTCACGTGATAATATTAAATGATCGCATTATTAATATAAATAAGACTCGAGAAAGGTGAAAAATGTCAGGCTTAATTTTCGCCTTCGTTACTCAGTTTATTTGTAATTGTGCGATATTCGATATGAAATACCGAAATAAAAAGCGAGCAGGCGGTGAAATAAAAGTTCTGGAAATGTTTAAAGTTTTACGACAATGGAGATCGTCATCTCGAGAGACCTCGGAAGCCAAGATAGGGTCCTTAGAATCTTTTCGACCGAGTGCGCGTAAATGTGTTAATTAAATGCGCAATTGCAAATTACCCAGGACGAAACAACGACAATGACCGGAGTTTACGGGTAGCCGGTGTACCACGATTGACAACGATTGTAAATTAGTATAAAGGAAAAAAAGAAAGAAACAGAAAAACCGAAGAAGAAGAAAAATAGAAGCCAGCTGTGGCGTCGAAAAGCCAGCGTTAAATCCCGCCGGAGTGCAGCTTAAGGGCGAGTGCAGGGGTGAATGCATCAAAAGGTGCACCGGAGGCGGACTTGGCGCGAGAGGCCGGGAACTCGATTATTTTATTTATTTAACTTCCCTAGAGCATAGAGAAAAGAAAAATTATAAAAAAAGAAGCTACTGGGCCGACATTAATACGTAAAGAATTAGGGAGGCAGGTGTGCGAAAAAATGCGACGGGTCGCTCGATCGGCCTTTGCGGGGTGAAATCACCTTAAAGTCGGCCCCATGGATGAGCATGGTGGTCCCGTATATATCACTTTTCGATTCGTTGATTTTTCTATTTTGTCAATTTTATAGGTCGAGAGATCGACCATCTTCATTTCCGGGGGCGATCGTCGATTTCACGTTTTTCGGGAATTCTGTATATAAACGATATATCCTGTATCTCATAGGATTAAGCGATCAAGGGATAGGCTGTTATCGGGACCCCCTGCTCATCTCTGGGGTCGATGGGGACCCATGGGGGTCGCCCGTTTCCTATACAAGCTGTATATGGGGGGCTGCGAGGCGCAGTTCGGACAGTTCGTTACGTGTTTAACTAATAATCCAAATCGCTAGATAGTGACCCATCGCCTGCGAGGAAAGAGCAGGTCCGACAAAATGCCGGACCTGGGAACCCTGGCCCATGGGGCCCCGTGGCCCTCTTCCATTTTCTCACGTCTCATCCATAGATAAGGTTAAACCGCGCGTCTCCGCGAGATAAGCGAATCGCGAGACACTGTAACTATAGTTATTGGGCACTAATCAACCATAGGCGATCATGGGATTGCTCTCATTCGATGGCGAATCGCGGGACAGAGAGACACTTTAATGTTGGTATTCGCTGTTCACTATTTGTAACACTCGAGAGGAATACAATAAAATTCATAGTACGTAAGAATTGCTATTCGCTATACCCCTTCATTTCCCCATATTCAATAAAAAAAATATATATATAAAAATGCCTAACACAAAATCCCTCATATAGAAATTCCTTGCATAAATGTCATGAAAAGATTCCCTGTATAAGAACTGCCGCCGGAAATGAGATAATAAAATCTCACGGTGGAATCCCATGAAGATCGGAATTTATCTTGCATTTTTCTTCCTTGGGGGGGAAATTTGCTCCCTCTCCGTTCATCACGCCTGGGCCGGACGGAAAATGGAAAATGGACGCGGCGGGGCGGTGTCTCTTTGAAAATTCTAAATCAAAACCGCGGAGCGCCAGGGAAGCGGGGGAAAGACGCATGCGGTTGGCTTGGTCCGGGGGGTGCGTTTTGCTCGAGCACGTATCCGCGAGCTCAAATGCGCCGCTGCACTTCATTATTGTCCGCCGCGCAAAATTCCGCGCCGCGGAATTCCGTCCTTCCCTTCTTTCGCGATCCCGGCCGCGGCGGAATTCCTTCCGCGGGTCTTTACCTCGCGTTTCCGCTGACTCTCCATCTGGGAATACTCGTACGCGTCGTATAATTCCGGCTCGCGTGAGCTTTTTTCTCACATTTATATGTACATATGTCTGTATACATACGTGGAACGTTTTATATACGAGCATATACATGTGCATACGTGTGCTTGCCGGGTGCACTCTGGCGTTATGTGCATAATGCATGTCTCGAGCGTGCATGAGCGCTCTCGGTTCAATTGCACCCCCCGTTCCTTCTCACGTTAATTATGGGATTTTCAGGTAGGGGTGCATCATGGGGTGCATCGTGGGGCATCCCTTTTACTGGCGGATTTTTTAACACCGATAAAATTGACGGATTCGCACCGTCGAGTTATTCCGTGAAATGGGAGTCGCTTATCGGCTCTTAGGGGAAATATCTCCCACGGAGGGGGTGGAATTTTTTCCCCCGTTTTTCAGAGCAAGAAGAGCGTCCTCCTCCCTGTGGTACTCGGCCGGATTACTTCGACGCGTAATCGAACAAGCGAATGAAAATGAAATCCCACCCCTTCATCCCCCATGGGGGGTCGGAGGGTGCATCCTCGCGAGCGAGTCCTGCGCCGGGAAGTGCATCTTGCGAGTCCAAGGAAATAATCTTTCCGAGTGCTCGAAGTCTCCGAAGGACTATCCGCAATTTTCGAAGCGACAATCCTTTTTTTCCCTCTCCAACCTCCACTTGTATTCCCTCCCCCTGGGACGTCCGTTCTCGATCCTGATTTTTCCCTGATTTTCCCCCGTTCGCCCCTTCAATAATATATACGTATAGCCTTGCGAAATAATAGCGGTAATCGCAATTGCGGTTTTCAAAACCCCTCATTATTTTTCCGTGACCACGTGTAGGGGTGCGAGTTTTCGGGGATAATTTGTCAAAATGCCAGGACACGAGGGGTTGACCAGGACGCGACTCCGAGGGTGATGTCGTGCGTTTTCGTGCGAGGGGCGCATTCTGTGTACCCCTCCACCCCTGGGGGACCGGGAGGGGGTCAACACGTCGACAGAGAATGTCCATTACTTCGTCAAACCCCGGTCATCGCCGACAGATCCGGCCACCGCCAATTTGCCGACAATAGCGACAATCCATCCGCCCCCTTCTCGCCCCTGTCGTCATCCTCCACCCAACTGCCCGACCACGTGCTCGACTCGTCGCTCCGTCTCTCTCCCACTCCCGGGCGCCCGCATGCATCCGTCTCTCTCCCACTCACGCGCTCGGTGGATCCTCGTATTTCCGACCTCTTCGCGCGAGATGATCACGGGATCCCTATTTCTGTCCTTCTCCGGCTTCCGGAAATGGCAGATTACTGTTCCCATCTTTGTCTGGTCATCAGATCGAGCGAATGGAGACGGGACATCGAAGACAAATCGCAAACTATCGATTTTGTCCCTCGAATTCTGACGACGTTCGCTTCGTTCTTGACCTTTTGCGATCGAGATATATTAATGTCTGATCCAATATTTATCAGCCGGGCGTTTAAGGGCGTCGGGTAGAATTTACTCACGAAACCATTGAGCAGCACTCTTGTTCTTTTAACACCCCGTCTAATTCCACCCCTACCTCAGTCTCGGCAATTAGCGATTGGCTGTGTAATTTACTCGTCGCTAAAGATCTTCGACTCCTCCCGGTCGACCGGGTCGAGAATTAAGGCCAGACACGAGGAAGCGAGGAAAAAGGCCGCATCAAGGGAGAAGTCAATTAGCCCGATTAACCTAACCTCTTCGGGCGATTTCCCCAGTCGGCGACTTCCTCGCGATTTACCGAGGGGGTGTCACCCCCGGAAAGACTGTCCCCGTTTCTCCGCTGAACTCTTCGGGGTGTAAGACCGATTTCCGCCCGCTAGGGAGCCTCCAAACATGCCCAAGAAAAAATCCCCCCTCATAGAAGCAGAATTAAAATTTAACTCAAGGGGAGGAATTCCCTGTGACATTATTTTACTTAATCAATGTAATGTTTTTTAAAAATTGGAACACGCTAAAAAATCCCTCCTCGAATTAAAATTCATCTTGAATAAATTAATAAAATTCATATTTCGTTGAGTTAGAGTCATTCTGAATTTTCCACCTCAAGTCGTTATTGAATTTCTAGCGCTTGACGATTTTCTCGACTTCTTCAGCTTCTCCTGAAGCTAGGGGGAATATTCAGCCGAGGGAAAGCCGTATCGATAATTCGGGGTCCTGATGGCCCTCCCTTTGGGCGAATGTCGCAGTGTGTGCCTCTGCCACACACGAGGGGGGCGCTGCTGTTCGCCACTTGACCGTCAGGAGGAGTTTGGAACTAGCGACGTGTACATTGGCCACCCTGAAGTGGGGCCTGGAAGAGCCGAGCGGGCTCTCGATTACGAAGTAGAGCCGACTTGGAGATTCCGTTTGCTTTGTCGAAACGTCCAGCGTCCTAGGAGAGGAGCCCAGCATCTCAATGGAACCGAAATTCGCCGTAGACAATATGCCAAAAAGGGGCGAAAATTGAAATTCCTTCTGAAACTCGTTCCCCTTGACCCAAGAGACGTCGAAGAAGGCACCACGAGGGGGAAACATCTCCCCAATCTAGAGGAACTAATCCAATATTTATTTACGAAAAATTAAATTCCCCCCTGAAGGTGTTCTCCAGGACACAGGGGCAGTTAATGCGAGTCTAGGGGAAGGCGATAGCCCATCGCGAATATATCCCCGATTTTTGGGAATTTGCCTAATATTTATTTACGGGCTTTACCGACGATAATCTGGATATGAAAAAACAAAAAGCAGAAAAAATCCCGGGATACCGCGGAGGCCTGAAATAGAGCGTTTCTGTAAATCCGGAAGAGTCGGAAGTGGATTTATCGAGTCCAGGGTGATATCTCCATCGAATATATTTCATAAATGCGAAATGGTCCGGTGAAAAACCATGGGATGACCATTCGATCACCGACCACGAAGAGGACCAACGTATAGAGGGGCTCGACTCGCGGGTGGACTTCGTCTCTTCCGAATGGATGCAATTCGAAATCCCATTGGGAGGTCTCTTAATCTCGTCGGATTGCCGCTTAATCTTAATCGATCTGGTCTTGCTATCAGATGGTCGGCTTTCCCTCTTCCTCTCTTTTTCAGGGCCGCTCGAAGCGAGGGAAAGAGACGCTGAAGAGAGCCGCCATTTCGGTTAAATCTCGAAGTTAGTTTTAAGGTGACGGCTCCCCCTCGGCCCTGTTTTATCTTAATGGCCGCCTTGGCAATCGAAAGTTTACTTATTATCATAGCCCTTGTCCCTCCTCCCTCCTCGCCAGAAATATGGCCCGAGTTATTGGCCGAAGGGAAATTGTATTCCGCGTGATTTGGACGCTTTTTAATTTAGCCCCGAAGAGGAACTCGAAGTGAGCCGCGCTTCGATTTTGTTTCGCAAGTACGATCTGGATCTCCTCCAAAGTCTTTTAATAAAAAATTTTTGTCGCCGTGAAAAATCATGCCGAAGAGGCCCAAAGTCGAGATGCCGATTGGACGCCACTTTGGCAGGATCGACCTCGAAAGGACCGGTAATCCTTGAGTTAACCTACACGATTTTGCTATGAGTTAAAATTAGTTACGAAGTCTTTATAAATGAATTGAAAGGGATTAAGAGTAATCCCTTTAAATCAGGATCCGCGTCCTAAATCCGGAATTTTCATGTACTTCAAAGAAGATTCTAAAAAGGTCCTTGAATACCTCTAAAAAATTCTCTCGAGTCCCTGAAGCCGATAATTGGAAGAGGGTGGTACCAGAAGGAAGGACAAAGCGACCAAGGGAATTCGGAAGGGTCCTTAATTGGGAGGTCCTGGGGACCAGTCGATGTCCTGGCGCTCAATGTCTGCTCTTCAGGGTTCCGACTTTCAGGGCCCCGCGAAGATGAACGACTCCGATCTCATGCATCATTCATAACTCGGAGATACCGCATCAGGTGACAAGGGCCGTCGAAGTCATCCCAGATAACTTCACCCTTCATCCGTCAAGTCCGATGTTAAGGGATTTATTCCTATCCCGGGCGTCCATTATTCCATCGCCCCAGTCCTCGGGTCGGTATTAAACATTCCGAGCATTACGGTACCGAGGTGCATGCACACGCGTGTACCCTGCACACGAGCATGCAGAGAAGTGCAGCGGTCTCGGATGCTGCGCTGGACCGCGAGCTGATCCGATGGCAGGATCGAAAGGACGATTCAAGGGTTCTAAGGATCCGAAGAATGCCGACGAACAATCCACTCGGACGAATGAATGGATCGATGGAACGTTTAATCAGGGTGCAATGCTCGATAAAGAGGGTATGATCGATGATCGATCACCAGGGTGGTCGATTTTATTCCCAGTTTCGCTTCTGGGGTTATTTCCTCAGGTTTCCAGTCCGTCAGGTGGTGGCAGACCTGCGTTCGGATTCACTTGTACCACCGGATACCATTGAACGACGTCGAGGACGTCGGCTCGAGCGAGATAGGACGAGTGAATGCGATAAAATCTTG